ATTAAAAAAGAGGTCCTTTTGTATGGTCATGATATCATTTTTCGTGAACTACTTAACCCACGGCCCGAAGTAACCGGTAAGATGATTCTGGAAGTTTGCCGACTACTGGAAATATCGCCACTAGAAATTGACAATCAGTTGGAGTATATAAAGCTGATCCTGGGACAGGGATTTAGGGAAACCGTGGATGTTCGTTCCGTTGATGGTGATTATATCATACACATATATCGACAAGTATAACAGTACAAACAATAAAAGAAATAGCATTTCTTAGAAAACATAAATTTCTTACAAATATTTGAATTATGATTTCGTTTTTTAGGCGTTTTTTGAAAAATTTGTATAGCTATTCTGTATCAAAATTTTTTATTTTACAGATATAGGCAATACGGCGTTGCATTACGCTCTCGAGAGAAATTGGTACGAAGCTGCAACTCTACTTCTCAAGGAAGGCAGTTACCTTGGTCAGGTGAACATATTCAACAACGTCGTTATCGCGGATATTCCAGATTTCATATTGTCCAGCTATTTTAATGACTGCATTCAATTAAAGAAAGAATGGACGGACGAGTGTACGATCGAATTCGACTATCGTTGCTTGTTGCCGCACGAAAATTTCACTGAACAGCAAGAAATTTCGCGAGCGATTTGTGAAATGGAAGTAATTTTGTATATCGCCAATAACGACACTCTCAAACATTTGTTGAGACATCCGTTAATCTCGTCTTTTCTCTGCATTAAATGGTACATGATACGGCATGTTTTGTACGCAAATTTTGTTTTTTACACAATGTTCTATTTCTTCGTGAACGCCTACATACTAAGCATGACTTACGACACATCAAGTAAAAATAAACAGCAAATAGCTAACGATAGTTTCAATACAGTCTTTGCAAGTACTTTCCTTACATTGCAAAACAATCTATCGTGGGTTTTGTCATGGGGATGTTGCTGCTCTTTACCTATCGAGAGATCTTGCAATTTCGCTCCTATCCCCAACGCTACTTGGTAGATTTGGAAAACTGGTCACAAGTTCTGCTAATTGTACTAACTTTTGCACTGTTGTGCGGCGCAGGACTGCAAATCAGGGTCATGGTTATCCTACTGTCCACCTGGGAGTTAATGACTCTGATAAGCCAGCATCTGTTTCCGTCTTGTATCGAAATGTTTCGAACTGTCTTCTTCAATTTCGTTCGCTTTTCCTTCCCGTATCTAATTCTGATTTTTGCATTCACTCTAGCTTTCTACATGCTCTTGAGGAATGACGGTTTCTCTAATTTTGATCTTTCGCTTTTCAAAACCATCATTATATTCACCGGCGAGTTTGACGCCAAAGACATTTCTTTTTCTGCGTATCCTGTTTGGAGCCGCATTGTACTCGTGCTGTTCATCTTTCACATAGTCATCGTGCTGTTTAATTTACTTAATGGTTTGGCAATCAACAACATTGCCGAGATTCTGAATAAGGCCGAGATTATCGGACTAATCTCCCAGGTACGCCTGATCGCTTGTTTCGAAAGAATGACAGTCGGGAAACCGTTCTGCTGGAATTTTAAATGGACGTGGTCGAATCCTTTTAATTTCTTTTCCAACAAGATTCTTCTCTTTCCACATTACCTCAAATGCGGTAAGATAAGTTTCAAACCTTACGATGATAATCTGATTGTTTATGATGGCCATAGGCATAACGTTGGTTATTCCATGGATTGGTCCACTTTGAAAATGGATCCTAACATAGTCAAACATGCTAAGCAGGTTGTCTACGATAAGAATGAACTGTCGCGAATAATGATATAATGAATGAACTTGCTAAGTTGCAAACAAGATTGACACAGATAAAAAATACTTTGAGATGTGAAGATTAAGAATGCTGAAGATGATGCTGAAGAAGACATTTTTAAAAATTAAATTTGAGAGACTTTCTTAAGTAAGTCTTAAGTAATAAAATGCATGTAAAATGAAGAGATTATATAAAGAATATAATAGTATTTTTTAAATCAATATGTAGAAATTGAGAGATAGAAAAAAATAATAGATAGAAGAAACAGTTTTAAATTTAGAGAAGATCACAGAAACGGTGATCTTGATTGACACAAATAAGCGTCACTTTGAAACATTGAAGATTTAAGAGTTAGGAGAATTATCTAAATCTATATGTGTGACATAACAAGATTTTTTTTTACAAAACTCACAATTTTAAGAAATAAATGACTTAAATGGTTTATTTAATGATAAGACTATATCTTCGCAATAAAAAGCTTTAGAATTTTTTCCGGGAATGACTTCAAATTATTATAATTTAGTAGATTAATAGTACACGAAATAAGCAATAAAATAATTTTTTTTTATTTTTTAGTTAAATCACTTTCATAATTATTAGTATATATTATATATATTATCAGTTGCGGAATAGATTTTAGAGAGACTAGACAGACGGTACCGCGAGTGGTGGCTAGGGCTACGGTCTTCTCGTCAGGTGATATCGCCACACGTGTGACCACATCCTCCTGGTAAAAGACAAACGTTAATAAACGTTAATAAATATGCCAATCGCACAGCGTAGAGTCATAATATGTCATTTGTTCAATCAACATTTGACTAAGGCTACGGTCAACGTGACGCTACAATGCTTTGGAGCGTTCTTCTTCTCTTTCTTTCTTCATTGAAAGAAAAAAGAAGAGGAATGCTTCGAAGCATTTGTAGCGTCACGTTTACCGTAGCCTAAAACCTACATTTCTGATTATATACTGAAAAAATTATGAATAAAAACTTAACGTAATTGCAACTGAAGGATTATTTACCGATAGTGGTATTATTTGAAGAAATGAACATGATTCTCTGAAGAACAAGTAGACGCTGCCACTGGTGGAGCCTAGCACAATGTAACTCGGCGATTAAATTAAATTTATTGCGAAATGTATTACCTTTTTATTGTTTGTCATCTTAATACGTGTTATTACGATAAATATTACCATATGCTTTAGTGATCGAATTGGTACGACACCCCTCACGGAATGAGGGAGTTTCCGGGTTCGAACCCTGGCTGAGGTAATATTTTTCGCAATAAATTTAATTATTTAATTAAGATGCATATATTATAAGAATTTAAAATTACATCAATTTTAGAATGACCAGAATCCTTGGTCAAAACGCGGTGACGATTTGTCACGACGATTATAATCGTTGCCACAATTATAATCATTGCCAGTACAGTCGATTAAATTCTTAATTGGGTTAAAAAGATAAAAATTTTAAATAACAATAAACGCGCATTAATCGCATTAGTTCTTATCGCTATATAAAATTCGAATCGAACGCTCATCCTATTTCTTCAATGTATAATATAAAAGTCGAGGAGTAAATTGAAATAAATTACGGATTCACAAATACTTCTGAATATGTACATTAAGTATCGTGATGAGGTAATTACGGTGTTCCATGTAAAAAGTAATATTGCAAAATTTTCATTTATAATATTGTTATCAGTTAGATAATGTCATTGACATGTGACATGTTATGTGACATGTTGTTATTTGTGTCCGTTATTTATTTCAGTTTATTTCTCGGCTCTTATACTTTGAAGAAATAGGATGTGTGCGTTCGATGCGAATTTTATATTGCTGTAAAAACTAATGCGATTAATGTAATGTATTGCGGTTTTTATTTTTATCTATTTGTTTACTTTATGTATTATCTTCAGTTATTACACTAAAGATGATTTAATAACAGACCAAAACGTTTGTTAAAGTATTATTTTAAATGAAGGTTACTTACGAACACTCTGTTGTGGCACTATGTTCTCTTTTTATGTGTTGATATCTTTTTTTTTAGTTCTTAAATTACACAAGTCACTAAATATGTATTTACGGTTTTTATATCTTAATTACGTTTGGTATAAGTAAAAAGTGCGTTAAAATACTTTATTAATATTTTACCACTAACAAATTTTAAAGAGATATAATGTATTATTTATTTTATTAAAAAATGTGCATGTGCACAACAATTAAACATGTAAAAGTAAAAATTAATTTAATTTCGAAATATTTTAAAGATATTATACATTATTACAAATGTTTTCGTTACTATATAAAGTGTATCACGATAAACCGAAGTTTTTATATTAAACGCGTGCGAGTGACTGATCAGTTCTGGTTCTGATCTATTGACTATTTGTTCGCTTTTATGATGTTCTAGTTTGATCATTTGATTGACGTGAAAAAATTGCTTATACAAGCAATGACTATAAATGATATCAGTAATACAAAGGTTATCAATAGCGAAATAATTAGAATCACTACAATGTTGCATATGATTTGCATGCTTGATATTAAAATGAATGAAAAGATTAATATAGAATAATAAATGTGCCGTATCTATTAAATATTTAACGATCTGAAAACTTTTTCACAATTTTTTCCGATTCCTTCTTTTATTGTTAGTGCATGTCAGCACAAACGGTAATATATAATACACTTTATAATAAAAAAATTGTTTTAATATTGTATAAATTGTAGCGATTGCATTGTTACCTCTCCAACCGCCGAAAATGCTCTAGAGTCTAGAGTCTAAAGTCTGAACGCTCATACATGGAAATATCAAAAGACACGGTAGTGTCTCGCGGCAAGTCCACGTGCATGCAGACACTACGGTGTATATTTACGCAAGCAGGAGAATTTTTAGTATGTCCTATAACGTTTATAAGATTTTCTTGTACGGTTGCTCTGAGAGCTGGAGTGCGCTATCAAGCCACGCTGATGGATTGAGAGGGTGATAACGCGTGGCTCCGTGCAGAGTGATTACGATTAGTAACTCAAAGGTCCGTGATTCGATTCCGGCCTGGCCTTCGTCTCGCATATACCTCGTTTAAGAGGTGGATTCCTTGTTTGATGGGAAGTTAAAAATTAAAGATCCATATGATTTAATAATCCGTTTAAGAGTTTAAAATGTTGTTGACATATTGCAAGTGATAGACGGTAAGAGTTTAGTACCCAGCGTCACTTTAAATTACAAAAAAAAAAAAAATACATTGAGCGAGCGAGATAGTGCAAGAATGAGTGAGAGAGTGAATTGAGAGTGCGAGCGAGATAGCGTGCGTTGTATGCATGAATCAGGAGAGTGAGCGAGAGAGTGAACGAGCGAGCGGGAGAGTAAAAGAGCGAACGAGATAGGCGTACATTGGCGCATTGCTTTTTTCCGCGTGTCCAGCGGTCGACGACGTTATTGTATTTCGCGGCAAATTTGGCAGTATGATGGTTATTCGTTTTAGTGGTACAAGTATTTTGTAAATCTTGTAAATGTGAACGATTATTTATTGTGTTTTGCGATTCGTAAATTGAGTGTACATGTTGTAATAGGAAATATAAGCGTTAGTGAAAATAAGATTATAGTATAGTATAGTAAAGATTAATATAAAGTACGTTGTACTCGGTAAACATCAATTAATAACATTTGAAGAAAAATAGAAGCAAAATATAATCTAATTAATGAATAATAAGAATAATCGTACATCGAATGTACTAGTCTGGTTTTTATGCTGGATTCTTGAATTATTTGACAACAAAGTTAGTGAAAATTGAGATTTTATTTTTATTTGTACATTTATTTTATATGCCTTTCCAAACCGTTAACCTTTAGTGCGATTGCTATGACAATATGTGATACATCAGATGAAATAATTGAAAATCTATTTCGTGAAAAACAGTTAAAGAAGAATGTTAACATTGTATGTATATAAAGTATTTAAATAAGTATCGTCTGCAGTTAGCCTTAAAAAATAAGTTTTCAGAGTTCACCACGAGGAGGTTGCAGTACGGTTTATTGTACTTCTTATCGGGGTGTTTTTTTAATGTGAGTCCCCTCGACCCTCACAAAACGGGGTGCTTTTTTAGTGTGAGTCGAGATTATTTTTTTAATCTTCATTATTGTCACTCTCAATTACTGGAATGTAATTGTCATTTTTGAATACTTTGCTTAGTATTTCCGCTGGTTGTTGCTCCCATATTGCTGCAGTGGTATATTATTTATCTCATGTTAGGTACTTATCAAAAATTTTCAAACTAGCGGAAATATTTAGCGAAGTATTTTATTAGTTAACGATAAACTTATGCCATTATGGTTCCACGGAGATTTAACTGCATTAAGAGTTGAAGACATATTACTTGTAGAGCACAATGATAGTAACGACGAGGACTATATTGTCGATAGTTCCGACAGCGATAGTGACTAAAAAAATCCTCGTAATTTATATTTATGTTTTATATCCTACTTTTAAGATTTTATATACAAAAAATAAGAATAAAAAAATAAATAAAAAAAAACGTGAATGTTACATGAACTTACCTTGTTTCACAATGTACGCGCAGCTTGTTTATCACAACTATTTTTGCCACAAAATATTCGATGGGAATTTTCGCACTAGTATGGGCGGTATTCATAGTCGGTTCTTAAGACCGTTCTCGTCAAAGATTGTTTTATTTTCTATTTAAATACATGGCAAGAGATTACTTGTATGGGTAATTATGCATAAAAATACCCCACCCGCCAATGACCTTGACCTTGACATATGTTGTCAAGGTCACTCTCCTAAGTGACTTTCAGAAGTTTTTAGCCGGCGGTCGTTATTCATTAAAAAGTTATTAATAAAAAAAGTTTGGAAAATATAGCAGCTATTTTGAGTATTGGAAGGCATAAACGACTAATATTACGTTTTTTTTTTAAAGCAGAGAATACTATATTTCGCGAGAAAGTCGCTGCTTTACTAAAACACAACATTTAAAGCAGTAAAATCAAAGTCTATT